TTCGTGAAGTATTTTCTTATTAAAATTTTTAACATTGTTACACACAGATCTTAAATTCTATTGGCTAAGTAATATGCATTATTCGTAATACCAGAATACTGTTACTATTATACCTGATACGTATTACGTATCTGGTATAGATCTGATTAATTAATATATTGGAAGCCCTAATGGATAATTTATTTGTGAGACGGGAACAAGCACAAAAGTACCATTTTTCATTAGCGTTAGTACTCTAACCAGTTCATGCCACATATTTCTGATTTCATTTTGTGGGGACCAACCTCGGATCAAACCTTATCTGGCCTGAATGCGTACAAGATATGCGACATAAAAATAACGAAAACCATTTAAAAGGGCAGTACAACGAAGTTAAGATTATTTATTGCTTAGCGTTAGTGATTTTGCTCATTCTTAAAATTTTAACGTTAAAATTAATTTGATACTTGTATTTAGTAATGTGCCATTTATATGATACCTGATTTTTTTTCGCGTACAATACGTACAGTACGTATAGTACGTATATTATAATATACTTGGTATAAAAAACTTTTTTTTAACTTTTTGTTTTCAGAATCTTCAGCTGAACCTTGCTCGTGGTTTATGTTCATTTATAGTCTACTCCGGAACTTTTCGTAATCAGTAATTAGGAAGAATTCGATTGTTGCTAATCAGGATAATGCGTGTTGATAAAAATCAATTGACCTGATTGGTCATCGCTTCCCGTATTGGCCTATATAAAGTGGTCGGCAAAAAATCTCGCGTACAGTACGTACAGTACGCACGTACAGTACGCGGCACATTACTACTTGTAATAACTGACAAAAATTCAATGTTAGTCAAAAAGTCACATGAATATAAAATTTTGGTAGCGGTTATCCTGGAGAAAATACACAGACCCTAAATACACGCGATTTTTTAATTGATGATGACTTAACGCGTCTCTTCCGATTAATTTTGATTTTATAAAGACTGTAGGGTAAGTGATTTTCAAACATAATTGCTTTACAATTTTTGCATATAGCTTCTAACACAAAATATGTCTAATACTTCTATCTGTTACGTTCGAGAATACTCCGAAAATATCCCATATGTCAAGTACTTCGAATTTTTTCCATGTGAAAAGTGGTCTCTTCAGTTATTATTAGCTATGAGCATGCTGAGAAGATGAAGTCATATCATGCTTTTTTATAATACCTTACATGCTATTAGCAATAATAATCATATGTCTAAAGAAATTCGTAATATTGCTCAGAATATTTTAAAAAATAAAAAAGTAAGTATAATAAGAATATCAAATTTAGACAGATGGGGCACAGCCAGGTGCTTGTACTTATTAAGTTCGTCTTAATGGGAGCGGAGTATACTAACTCTTACAAGTACTGAATTAGATGCGTTTATTAAGTTCGCCTTAGTAAACATTATGGAATCTACCAATACAAGTTTTTGATAAAGGTTTACTAGTTCTGAAGAAGAAATCCTATGTACCTTTATGTCAACAAAAATTTAACTATTGGGATATTCCTGCATCCGCCATCTAATCTTGTCTTGATCTAATTATGCTTACTATGCTTATGGAATAAGCCTAGAAATATATTACCATCGAAGATATATAGTGGAATATTCGCCAAAGAAGAGGTAATGCACAATCACAAATGCACATTTCTTTTTTCCTGGAGTAAATGTACCTTTGCGATCAGATGAATCTTTAGATATTCTCGAGATATTAAAGTTGGCCGTATGTACTTTTGATCAGAATGCAATTACACTTGGCTCGACTCGTTCTTATAAAAGTTCGAATTATTTGCGAGTTGAAACTAAGTGCAATGAAAAAGTCCCAAGAGAGAGTACTTACGATACAGAAATGTATCGAATTTTAATGAATTGGTTGGCAAAGGATCATGACTTTGAGATTACAAGCCAGTGGCATCTCAAGCAGGTCTGTGAAGATGGAGACTAGCACCATCTTTATTTCGATCTGACGATAAAAAGAAGCGCCGACTCCAACCCTGTAGCTTTACTAGAACTTATAGCAACAGGATCTATTCCAAAGTTAAAGAAACATTTCGAACAAATTTTTAAGTATGCCGACCAACTTTTCCCTCAGGAAGTTTGGGTTGTACATTTTTCTCGGGAGGATTCTATTGTGTTGGATTCATATTGGCCTTCTGATGAACTGCAGAAGAGAGGATTAAATGTTGTGCATTTTTGGCACGATAAAGAATTTAAGAATGTTCGTATGAGTTCCCGATTTCGAGATGCCACGGTAAATTTCAGGACATTATTGATGAACAAATACTTCCCTAATTTATTTGTGCATAATAAAGCTGAATCTGGTGGCTTGATTTCTCATATATAATCGTATTTACTTTTGCATATGCATTTTGGGACTTTATCTTTTATAGAAAGTGCATTTTATGCATTACATTGATGGATATATATCGATAGTGTTGTACATTTTCGATGTTCATGGCTTTTTTGGCTTGCCCATGTCCATGCCCACGAATATCCATACAAGTTTGTGGCTTAATAAAGTTTAGAAATTATACGGACAAAAGATAACTAATTATATATAAAATTAGATGTTAAATATTTTTACTTAATATACAAAATAAGTTATCATAGTAAAATTTTAAGCTATTAAAGTTTCATTTTTTGTGTAATATGTCCATACTTTTGTCCACGCCTGTCCATGTACATAGGGATGTTAAAAGTTCGGTTCGGTTCGACTCGACTCCATGAGTCGAGTCTTAATTTAGACTCGGTTCCGAGTCAGACTTGGAACCGAGTTCTAATAGTCACATGCAATATTAGATATTATGGGGACCCGGTAGCCCCAAATCCGCCTCTCACAACGTACGTGATTGTGTTGTGTTAAAATAGCATCTATTTCTTAAATATTCACGGCTAACAAACCTATTTTATAGTAAAAATTTCGAACATTCAGACGTAGTATAAATCGTATGTTGATCAAACATTCAATATTTAATCCATAGAACATTAAAAATTCGACAAATATTTAGTGGTACGTAGCGATTTTTTTGAATATTTCTATACCTCTAAATAATCACTGATTTTGGATATTCATGAATTTAATCATGCTTATTATAAAGTAGTAAACATCAAATACCGATACCCGCAACATACTAATTAGAGTATTCGCAGATATTTAATGTATAGATTATATATTTGAATATGGTATGTAAAATATAGTAGATTATGCAATATTTAATTTTATAAAATGAAATATTAATTTAGTTTTAAGCATACATCACGTGGTAAATATCTTACAAAAAGTAGAAAAAAATACCTCAAATACCAGTTTATTTATTCTTTACAAAAAAAGATGGCTTTGCGAAACTTTATAAAAAATTGACTCGGATCTAATTCTGTAATCAATAAAACAAACCTATACCATTCATGAACGAAAAAAAAAAGCACAAACCTATTTAGTCTATTTTTTTTTTTTTTTATAAAAATACAAGTTCATACTGAAACACATAACGTAATGAGTTTAAATAATAAATTGAAAGAATAAGAAGAAAAAAAAAGTTTTAAGAACCAGCAAAACAAGAAATAATAGTACAGATGACCTATGAACGAAAGAAGCATATTACTTAGCCAATAGAATTTAAGATCTGTGTGTAACAATGTTAAAAATTTTAATAAGAAAATACTTCACGAA